AAAGAATTATTATTGAGGGAATTACTCTTAGAAACTTGGGTATAAGGAATCAAAACAAGAAAATATAAAGAGTGTGCATCTATAACTATGTAACATGTTCAATGTATATAATTGTCAAAGTATGAGGAGAATGATTGATGAAATCCAATCCCTAATCTAATCATATTAGTTTAATTTACTTTTAATTGTATTTTACATGTTACTTTCACAACCAAATCTCATATCAAACTTAGTTGTACATTTGAATAAAGCTGTCAATAAGGGTTAGGGCTTGGGGCCAGCCTTGTCCAACCCTAAAATAACCCACTTAACCCTATATCTTATATTAATTAAATATAATAATCAGGCCCTAAATTATTTAGCCCATAATATATGGGTTAGAGTAGGGTTATCCATGGGTTAGTCCTGACCCTGCAATCTTACCTAAATTTTAGATTTTATCCAAATCATTCCAGATTCACTCAAATGATACGAACTCTAACTTACATTGCTATGCTCTTCTTCCCTTCGCGCCACTCTTTTTCCACCACTCTGCTCCTCTTCCACCACTCTTTTTCTATTGTTTCACTCCTCTTCCACCACTCTTCTTCCATTGTTTCCTTCCTCTTCTGCTGCTTCTATTCTCTTCCAAGGCTTTACACCTCTCTTTGCATCTTTCTCCACTCCTCTTCGAGGATTTTGTGCCTTGTCGTTTATCAGTACAAACAGTCTCATGGCTTCTCGCGGCCAACACTGTTTCTCACTTGTTGCATAAATACTGATTTAGTTGTTTCTGGTTTATTATCTTGTCTCACTAGAATCTTTGCTTTTTGGGTTAAAATCACTTTGTCCATTCATTCTTTTATCTCTTGCTATAAATTAGATTATGATTAAATTTTCTGTTACTAAAAAATTGATTAAATGCTACCTCAAAATCCTAAAATTAAGTAGAATAGTTTTCTAAATGCATTGTATGAAATGGAATGCATTTATTTTGGATTTTCTGTCTTTCTAAAAGTTAAAATTCATTCTGTGTATGAATTTTGGATACCATCATAATGATGAAGCTGATTTGGAAGTTTATTTGCAAGAAACACTGAACAGATAAGTAGGTTTCAATTCCGTTCACCCATCGAAGACAACCTAATTATTTAAATTCTATATTTTTTAGTGTTTCATATTTTATTTGGTATTGTTTACTTTATTTTTTTTTTATTTCCACCTTGTCTTTGTTTTTTTTCCATTACTTTGCAAATTGTCAAGTGACTTTTTTGTCAAAATTTAAAACAACTTTTGATTTAAAGTTGAATAAAATTAATTTTAATATATTTGTTTTAAATTATTAGATGTAATTATAATATATGATAAAATTAAACTTAATCAGAAATATTTATTAAGATATGCATTTTTTATATTAAAAAGTATATAAAAAGTATTTTAAACCAAACAAACTCTATATCGTATAAAGTAGATTTATCTTACTAAAAAGTTAAATTAAAATTATGTTCTTCAAGTAGCTTTTTTAATTTGATAAATAATTATTTCATTTTGCATTACACAGATTTGTAATATTGAATGTGGTGCTATGGTGTGTTATAGAATTTTTTTGCCTGTAAAGGCCTGATCCTAACCTTGACCTACAGAGTTTTTTGGCCTACATGACTTTTTATTTCTTGTGCTTTTTTACTCATAGGGTTATAAAGTCCTAACCCACGTGGGCTAGGGGTAGGGCTATTGTATCTATAGGATATTAGAAATTGCATAAGTATTTTGCAATTTCTATAGATACAATAACCCTTTATTCACTTTTTGCGTCAAAAATTTGGTGCACTTGATAAAGTAAAATAAAATTCCAAATAATATATACAAAGACATGTTCTTTATTGTGTTAGTTATAATGCATTAAACTTGACTAAAAATTTAGCCTATCATAAAAAATTAAATCATATTGATATTAGATTAAATTTTATTTGAGATGTGATTTAAGATAAAATATTCTTCAGAGAAAAGATAGTCATTACATATAATTTATTGAATACGTTAATTGAGTCTTTACTTACAAAAAAAAATTCAATTATAGTTTGAATACATTGGTAGAATAGTTATTTTTTGGTTAGTCATGTTTTTGGAGAATTTGAGTTAAAGTGAAAAATTGTTGAGATTCCTAGAATTTATATGTTGACTTTTTTAATAAATATTACAACTGTTATGTTTTGTGAATTTCAATTATTATTTTTTTAATAAATTATAATGAAAAATTATGAGTTATTATAGTAAATTATGAACTATCATATTCATGAATTTTAAAAGCTAACGAGACATTTTTTTTGTTATTTATCATGTAATTTGTATTTACAATTTATGTAATAAAAAATTCTTCAATCTGAATGTGAACATGAACGTAAGTTATAAATGTACCTTCTTGTTATTATTACTTTTTTTATTTATGTCATACCAATTATATAAAATGGTTGTATTATTTAATTATTTTAAAAAAATATAATAATAGAAATTTAAGAAGTAATATGACAATCATAAACAAGATCAAATTAATTGAAAACGACCTTGAAGGTCGCAAGCGAAACGTCACCTCAAAGGCAAAACCATTTCTCTGGTTGGTTGAAGCTTTGACAGAAACGCACGCAATGTCTATTTCTTTCACCCTTCGTTGAAAACGTGATTGATCGTTACACCACGTCGTTTGCATTGAAGATATTTTTTCTTCAACACTTCTAAATAATTGATTTAACTCTCTTAAAATAACAAATTTATTTAAATAAAATAAAAATATTCATTCTTAATTTAAATTTAAATATTTTATAAATATATTTTAATTTAAATTAACGATTAATTAAAAATTTTAAATGTTTCTTCACGTTAAACAAATTAGATATTCCCAAAATTCTAGTTCGCATGTACGAGATTGTGTTAAAAATAGGAAACCGCAAGTGGGGAGGGATTGTGGTGAAAGAAAGTGATAACACGAGACTTCAGTTAGAACCACTCAAAACTCTCGAAGGACAACCACTGGTACCCACGTGAATGTTGTGCATGATGCTCGTAAAACCTGTGATTTCAGATCGTGTACTGCAGTTCTTTGACGTGCAATACAATTTAGGTTTAATTGCAATATTTTGTTTCCTTTCAATTTGGTTTATATATAATTTTAGTTTTTAATTTTTATATATAAAATTCTCTATTTCTAAAATTATATAAATTCAGTCTGTTAAAAGATTCAATTCTTTATTTTTCTTATTCAAGTTTTTTGAAAAATTTGTAATAGTGGAACATAAAATGACTGCAAATTTTTTAAAATAAACAATTGTAAAATATAAAGGATTTTATAAGATGTGCGATTATAGTTTGAATTTTTATGTTTTATTTTTGGATAATTTTTTATATTTTGCTTGGTTAAATTTAAATATATGAGAATTTGATTAATTCAGTTTGTAAATAATTAATGAAGAACTAAATGAGCACAATTTTAAAAATAAAATTATTTAATAAAAAAATTTCGAGAAGAAAGATGAAATTAAAAGTCTTTTTATCTAATGAAATTTCAAACAATTTTAAAAAAATAAAGAAATTAAATTAAATTAAATTTATGTTTTTAAGACTTATGTGATGAATGGAAGAACCAAAACAAATTTAGAGCCAATGTTCTAGAGCAAACAATCAATGACATTTCTTGATTTGATTGGAAGTCGGTTTGTATTTTGCACCACTGAATTTTATTTTGTCCATGGAATTCTATTGCTTTGCCTTTTTCTTTTTCCATTTTCTTCTCTTCAAAAAGGTTCATATTTAGAGCAAATCATAGATTTTACTTATAAATACCAGGACATTATGTTTTGATGTGAGATTAGTCAAACTTATGCTGGTGTAAGTAAAAGGGGTTCAGATCTCTTAGAATTGATCTTAAGATTAATTATGTACGAACAAAATATGATTGGGGAGAGTTTTCACATTACTTTCTTTTAACTGTACTCAAAGGACTTAGTCTCAATGTGAAACATTTCAAAACAACTTAGTAGCCCTTTTATGATAATTTATGGCCATTGCATGACCTCAATGTTATAATAATTAGCTTATTTAATCAACCAAAAATTTAGAATCAACTTGGAATTTGGCTTTTAAAACCTTCTAATGCAATGAGTCCTTGAAGGATTAGCCACAAAAACTTATCTCATTAGATAATTTGTATTCATGGCATGAACATTTGGTCCTAATAAACTAAGCATTTTGATGCAAAAAATAGTTATCATTCATTATCAAAATTAATATTTTAAATTAAGTCACTCATTTAGCAATAATGATAGTATGTAAAGATAGAAATGTTAATAACATACCGGCCTGCTAATAGACACTATTATATGTAAGATTTATTAAAAATCACAAAAAATACGAGTCTTACTCTTACTTTAACGAGCCTTATATTTTGTAATTTTTAATAAATTTTAATTAATAATAATTAAAAGTATATTCAATGTAAGATTTATTAAAAATCACAAAAAAATGAGTGATTTTGTTTTTTTAAAAAAAGGACTAAAGACAGATTTTCAGAGATAGAAACTAAAATAAATGTGTATAATTTGAGTGGTTAAAAGTGGTATTTGCTCTAAACAACGTGAGAGGATCCAAATTTGTTATTTGACACACTTAAAAGCTTATTTGACCAAATTATATATATTTGAAATTCGGCTTGCAGTGTTTTTCTTTTCTAGCCTTAATTTGAAATGGTACTTCATATAACATTAAACATATAAGCTCCTAGCCTTTATTATAATTCCTCCCTTACCCTTTTTAATTTCACAAATTCTTGAACGCACATTCTTTTTAATTTCTTTATAATATAAAATTAATATAAATCCATTTATATTATTTTATTTCATTTAAAAAATTAAAAATAGGAATGAATTAAAAATATTATCTTAATTATTAAGATGATAAATTATTTGAAAAAAAAATTTAGAAAATTATAAAAGATATATAGATACTAAATATCAAGTTAAGGTCAATTAATTAAACATCATTTTACACTTATCATTCAATTTAAAAACTAATTTTACTGAATATTTAATTCGATTAACTAGTTTATTAGTTTTACACCAAATTTAAAGCTTTTACTAATTTTCTCATACACCCATAATAACATAACTTGATGTTACATTCCCTTAACAAGGTAAATGTAAATATCTAAACTTGCTTTAATTCCCACAATGGAACAAATTGTCAGATATAGTTACAATAGTGGTCTATATGCTAATGCTATATGTACTGTTGGAAACTAGAATCCAACCACCTTTCACGTAATAAGGTAAAGCCCTACACCAAAAATAATTAAGGTAAAGCCCTACCTATGTACTGAACATAGTCTGATACTTAAGAATCTCAGCACAAGTTTTGATAAAAATAAAATAAAATCATCATCTTCCGACATGATTATATTACAACCTACAACAAATATTCTCTATCTGAAGTAGGCTCCTTCTATCCTTGCTTGGTTGACAGTGCATCAGTACCAGCACTTGCATTGATGTTACAAACCATTGAATCCCGCTGTGGCACATTCTCAGACATCTTGTTGAGGTTATATGGTGCTGCATTCATCACCCTGCATGAACAGAAATGCCTCAGACTCATAAATCTTCATGCAATCATGATGACACTCTACACCAGGTTAGTGTCATAACTGATATTTAATTAGATATGTTAAATTATTGTGTAAGGTGAAGATGTAAAAACTGGATCTTGTCAAAAGTAAGAGTTGCAACTTGCAACCAAGTAAACCTCAACATCTTCAACCAACTTGAGTTCTTTCAATGTCTAACCTTATGTTTGAAACTTCAGGGCAAAACACAACGGAAGGGATGGAACGAAAAAAGTAGGAAATCCAAAATTAAATTGGGTACAAAGAAGTGAGTAAACTTCCAAACAAGGGGAATTATTTCTTCCTCTTCCATCAGCCTCATTAATCAATTATATCAATGTAGAGGGAAACAAGCACTAGTGACCACAAAATTTGAGAAGCACACAAATAGAAAACCCACTTAGGATAAGAAATCAACATGTTTCAACAGTTAAAAGATGACAACTTCTTACATAACTCTTAAGTAATAATCATTTTGGTTGTCGAGAAAACTAACCTTTCCTTGCGCTTCTCCAAAAATCGAGCCAATGATGCCTTGCGAGCCTGTGGCACAGCTGCATAAAACGATTGAATGTCAGTTTCATGTAGCAAAATCTTCAGATTGAAAAATCATTAAATACAAACACTTGCAATAGTATAAGCACAAGTCCAGACTGCAGAGAGATGCATTTATTGTTCATTATAACTCTTAGACAAATATCCACATCAAAAGAATGTGAAAGACTAAAGAAACATCTAGAAGGAAGAAACTACATTGATTCCATACCTGATGGTAACATGGCGGTTGCATTGACCACTTTTGGAGTCTCCACTTTGCTAATAGAAGTGGTGGGAGCTCCAGATGATTTAGCTGCCAGAAATTCATCGTTGCTACTAGAACCACTCCCTAATTGAGCACCAGTATGTGAAGAAACAGATAAAGGACTTGAAAGACCAGAGCAGGGTGGTACGTTTATGGATTGACTCGCAGGAACACCGTCGCCTGCTGCCAACTTTAAGCCGGGAACCTGAACTTTGGGCTGTGCCATGTTAGAAGCTGCAGAAAATTCATTCCCAGCCAACAACATGATAGCTTGTGCCTGAAGAAAGATGGTTAAATTTAAGCCTAACAATAAGATGTATGCTCCACTTTTGCAGTTATGCTTATTTGTTTATTTATCATGGATGGAATGAAATATGACAAAGACACCTTTTCAGGTGAGATATCATCAAAGACATTCACAGTGCCAGCATAGAAGATGGTAAGTTGAGGAGCAGGTGTAGACGGTTTCGTGCTGTTAATTCAGAATAATGTGTTAGAGACATGCATATTTGTTCAATGCACTCAAATAATTTCTTTAAGCAAAACTAAAAAGTTACCACGATTCAGTCATTCCAGCAACAGCACCAACAATGGGAATAGCTGAATGGGGAACTGTAACAGGTATTCCCCCAAGCAGTGGTTGTTTCACATTAGCATCATTCATATTCTGACCAACAGTTGAAAAATGATTCTTTAGCAATGGATGTCCCATGGAAACCGAAAACATCTTCATATCATGAGGGCGATTCACAGTATTCACATCATGTTGAGTCAGGGAAAAATGAATGCCACCTTTTCCATCATGATTGAAAGATTTCTAGCAGTAAGGAAAACAGATCAAAGAAATAAAGGGGAAAAAGACATCAGCTGATAAACTGATGGTCTGCTAAACATGAATATGTTTTACTCACTTCACTTTAGTGAATCTAAAGCTAATAAACTGGATGTTGTGCTAAGTGACAATTATGAACAAATACACAAAAGCTGAGAAAAAGGGTATGTTAGCAAACCTGTTGTGGTTCAGCTGCAGTGCGTTTTTTAATAGAGTCAAATGCATCAAGACTTGGGATCGCAAAGAATCCAGAAGATTTGACGGAATCAGACACCTTCATTTTAGCCTTGTCATCTTGAGAAGCGCTGAAAGACATCATCAAATGAGGATGAACAGAGACTTTGTCCAAGAAGGGCCATTTTACTGCTGCACCGTTCGTAAAACCTTCATATAGCCACAAAAGAACTATCAAAATAAGCTAGAAGAACTTCATATTCATGCCTATAGGGTTAGTTTAAGAAAGGAAAAAATAACATACGAAAAGAGCACAAAGAAACAGACAACAAAGGATATAAGAGAGAGGAAGAGGTAAATGGAGTGTGAGATTATAAAATTTTAAAACTTGGTATCAATCTATTTACCTCTGTCAAGGAGCATACCTGTAGGTATAGCAACACCTAAATCAACAAAACTGGAAAATAACTGAAAAATGGTCCTTTTACCTAAATTACAAGTTTCATACAGAGGCGCGCGCGCGCGCACACACACACACACACAAAATTTAATAACTATATAAACAAGGATCATAACTTGTCTAGTTCCACTAGTGAATCTATCACACATGAACCTCCCAGTAAATAGCCTGCAGCAGAAGTAAAGTTGTACCACTCACAGAAAAGCTTTAATACTTAAAAAGAGGGAGCAAGCAGAAACTAAAATACATCCAGGATAACCAAATTTAGCAAGCAAATTAAGAAACTGATTCAACAACTCAATTTCCAACCTCAACAAGAAGAATTGGAGCCCAAAACACAGAAAACAAGTGAAAAAGCTAGCCAAACAGCTCAAAGCAATCAAAATATGTAAAGGATCATTCAATTGGAGAATCATGCAAAGATTAAGAAAAAGTATAATAATTGAAGGAGGAGGAAACATGCCCGAGTCTTTGCACCCATTACCATTGTTCATCTCCTCCTTCAACACAGACAATGATTCTTTTATGTTCAAACCCATGAAATCTCTCTCCATTTTCAGAGCTTACACTGAAGAAATCCAGAAACCAACACAAACCCACTCCAATATACCCTTTCCTTCTTCACAAACAAAACAGAAACAACCCCTTTTCTTTCCTCACATTAACCAACAAGGCAGGAACACCAATGAATATAAGAGTAAAAATAATAAAGCGTTTTTGTCCTAACTGCAGAAAAATAAAAATAAAATAAAATAGAGAAGAAGGTGATCCCAAAAGCCATCGGGCTATTTTATTTCATTAATGAGATATTGACCACCAAGATTTTTTTTCCTTAAAATCGTCAGAGAACCAATGATGAATTGTAGGCACACGTTAATAATTTAAGAAATATCAAGACTTTATTAAATATATAATATTTAATGTTATTAATGTATTTAATTTTTGATATTTTATTATTTTTTAAAATTTTAATATATATAAATTTTTATTGTGTGTATTAGATATATATTTTTAAAAAGTAAAAAAATTAAATCTTTATGTTTAAGAAAGATATGTTCGATTCTTCTTAAATAAAGTTTGAACCCTGTTACAAAAAGTATACTGAAAGAACTAGCTCCAACATATTATAAATGTTATTTATTCCAACAAAATTGCCTAAAATATAACTGTAGTACAGACGAAAAATTATATTCTATTCTATTTTAATCTCTTGTAGTGTAAGTTTTATCAGTTATTTTATTTTTTAATTGTAAAAAATATTTATGCCATTTATTTTATATATTAGATGATAATAAAAATAAAATAAAACAATTAAAATAAATAATATTTACAAAATAAAAAATATAATAAACAATTATCAAAGGTGGTTGTGTTGCCGGTAGAGTAACTGAACAATCCGTAAAGGACCACGTGCGCGTCTGTCATATCTTTCCATACTTGTGGTCCCCGCTTGTCGTCGGTGTTTGACAGTGATCTTTTTGCAGCCAGCAACTCTTGTGAAAATTGCGCACGTGTTCGTGAGACACGTGACATTTATCTCACTCGCATTTAATTACTAGTTATACACTTCTATTTTTTTATTAAAAAATAAAAAATTAATTTTATTTCAATTTAATATTTTTACTCTTAATATTTATTTATATTTTTATAATTTTTAATAAATTTTAGGCCACAAGTTAAAAATTATTAATACTTCTCCTCTTATAACAAATACTCAAGATAGTGGTTAAGTCATTAAAAATATTATTAATAATTTTTTATTATAAATTTTAATATATTTTATTTTTTATTAAACAATAATATTTTTATTTAATGCTTAAAATAGGGCTCTTTAGTTATTTAAAGTGTATATCTAAAGTTATTTACATTAATTAGAAAAATATCAGTTAGAAATTATTTTAGTCCTTTTTACTAATATATTTTAGCATTTAAGAAAATATTAACGTAACATATATAAGTGATTTAAGGATTAAAGTGAATTTTTACATTTTTTTACAATTATAGTTTAAAGGGTTTAATTCAGGTCTTTATTAATTAATTTACAATGGATGAAAATTGCTTTCGCTGAAGCCGAATTCTAACATCGTTTTGTAAAATAAGGTTTTTTTAATTAAATTTCATGTGAAAATAATACAATAGATATTAAAATTTGTTGTAATAAAATCTATCTCATTTCATAAGTTTAACATAAATTTTAATTGATAATAAAATATATTATAAAAATATATTATTAATGTTTTCAAAAGAATCGTGTTAACTCTTGTAACATTATTAAAAAATAAAAAATTATTTTAAATTAATTTAAAATATATTAAAAATTAAATAAATATGTATCAAGTATAAACTTAAATAAGTGAATAGTCTATAAAAAAATATATTTCTTTTCAGAATTGCTCCCTATAATTTTTTTTAACTAATTTTAGTCTTGTAATTTTTTAAAAGTATTTTTTATCGTTACCAGAGAGTTGTTGAGTAACAACTAAGTAAATTATGTTCTAGATAATATTTGTTACATACAAAGTTAACTTTAAATGTGATAAAGTTAAATAAGTAATTAGTTTCTAAAAAATATATTATTTTAAAATTAATCTTTATTAAATTTTAATTTTAATTTTAATGTTATGAAATTTTAATTTTTTGAAAACAAAGTTTACTATTATCTCATAAATTAACATTTATTTTATTAAGATAATATCTCATATTTCATATTTATTCTAAGAATATTCGTCAAAGTAATATTATTTGAAATTAAAATATCATTTTTTTAGAAATAATTTTTAAAGTAGGTATAAGAAGTTGTATTGTATAATGTAAAAAAGACTTAATTATATTTCATAAATTTGTATTTCTATTTTTCACCACCTGAGGTAAGGTAAAAGATCTAATTTTTATCTCTAAAAAATTTGTTTTAAATTTTTTAAAATCAACACTCTTTTACTCCAACCTATCCTATTTTTTTTCAACAACTTTTTCTCATACAACTATGAACATCATTATTATTTGCTTTCAGTTTGAAAACAACATTATATCTCTTTCTCTTATAGACTAAGCTACTTTTTTTAATCATTGTATATTCTTTTTCCTTTATTGTGTTTAATTTCATCTTTAAAATATACACTCTTTCCACCATAGAAATAAAATCAGAAGAATAATAAAATTATAAAACATTGTCAGTTAAAATAATGAAATATTTTGGTGTCAAATGTAAATTTTTTTTTTCCAAAATATACCAAATAAAAATAAAAATATAGAAATGGACCCATTGCATGTTTAATTACTACTTGCAACAGCCCCTTTTTTTGTTTTTATATTAATATTTTATTTTAAAATTTAAAATAAAAATTAAATAACAATAATAATTATTTTTTAAAAACTAATTAAAATATTTAAATAATAAGTAATTTATTTTAAATAGTAATATTAATGTCTAAATTATTTATACTTAAAGAATAATAATCATATTTTTAAAAACTAAATAAATATCTTCAATAATATTTTGTTTATTTATTTATTTAAATATGTAAGTTTGAGTTAATATTTTTAAATATTAGTATAATAAAATGATATTTTGAATAAAAATTTTATTTTAATTAAATTATTTTTTTTGAAAATTACATTATTTAATATTATAATTTTAATACCTTAAACTATGATATATATTAATGCAACATGCTCTAAAGTTAGGTTTTCTTTTTTTCTTATAACTCGTTACAACAAAAGAAATCATTGACGGGTTCTAGATGCATGACTAATGTTTGGACATGTCTTCCTTGTGTGACATGAGATGTGACAATAGGAACATTTTTTTGTACGATTTTGTTGTTCTCTAATGTTCATCTCTGTTTTTATCCTGCTAGATTTAGGTCAACCTTTTGAAGTTCTTTTCATTTTTGAATTTGGACACAAAGTTGAGTCCGTATAAGTTGGTCAATAGTCTTCGTGTTTGAGTTCTCCAAACTGACCTTCATATACCTTAGAAACTTGTTGTAAGATATACACGAGAGATATGTAGATGTCAAAGTTGTGGTGTGCGTATAAGCATGAAGCAAGTACATGCGAGCATGTGATGTGAACTTTTTGGTACTTGCCATAATCACACCGTATTTCATCTAATCGTACTGTAAATCTCCCTACGGGTCAAACTTATCCTGGATGTTACATTTTTTCGACTAAAAATCTAGTGTTTGATCTGTCAAATGTGATAATTGTATGAGTGTTCGCCTTTGACTGTGCATCTTGAATTGTTTTAGTTGCAACCTCCAAGTACACATGTCCAGCATTAATCATTACATCTACTTCCCTGCCTCTCTCAATGAAGAACTTGTTGCAACGGGTGTATATCACCATGACCATTGAGTAAATTGGCAGGTTTATGATTTTCTTCAAGACCAAATTGATTGACTCCGCTAGGTTCAGTTATCTCATATTCTCAAAAAAAAAATTACAAATTTAATTAATATAACTAGCTAAGCAAGTGCATAAAATATTAATGATAATATAGAGTACGTAAAAAATTAAAATTACCCATTTTGACGACATCTTTCTTAAGTGCAACGTTTTTGAATCATCGCATGAAGTTTTGTGCAATGTGTCTAATGCAATAGACATGGACATAATTGTTTTTCGTTTAGCCACTTCCATTTCTAGAGTATGCACTTCTTATGGCCTTGTGACGATCAGAAATGAGGCACAACCCCTCTTGCAGGGTTACATACCTTCTTAAGTTTCTCAAAGAAAGAACCATGCATCGCTGATTTCACCTTCAACCACACTAAAGACAATGAGAATTATGTTATTGCGACCGTCTTGTGCAACTACCACCAATAAAGTCCCTTTGTATTTGTTGTACAAAAATGTTCCATCCACTTGAACAATTGGTTTGCAAAAGGCAAAACCATCATACCTTTTCGTGTGCAGATGGAGCGGGGGTAGAGTACTAAACTTTCAAAATAAACCTTACAATGATGTTGTAGGGTACAGATCAATATTTAATCACATTCAAGCTAATCAGGTAATTCTTCAAAAAAAATAAAATAACAAAACGTATTGAATTTATACTTATTTTCTTATCTTTTACACATCATCTTAAGTAACAAAGTTAAATTTATTTGTAGTTTTTATGGGAGCCATATCAAGACTTGCAAACATCAATACACATGTAAGCATACAGAGAGGTCTAACTGTGAACTTTATGTACCGCCATCCTTTATTTTGTAATTGTTGAATAGCATCAAACAAATAGAGTCAAATTACAGTTTCATCTCTTCCAAGACACCCCTTCTCCACCGAATAATTTGAATGACCTCCACAAAATTGATATGAGAGGAAGACAAGATGAAAATTGGATTACAAGACATGCTCAATGGATCGACATATGGAACAACATACGTGAACTGACAATAACGGGTCATCCATTACAAGGCCCATTGTGTCACACACAATAATACATGTAATGGTACATTACCAATTTCATCTATTTCCTATCTGTGCCACCACTAAGTGCTACAAGATCCAAGGAGGAGTCACTAACAACTAAGGACTACCAACACATTTGAAATCGGTACGACTTCTATACCGTCATATCATGAGACTGCATCAATTCCTCCGAACATCATGCCAGAAATTAACATAATTAACACAAGACATTCGTTTGCAACAACATTGGAGGATTCTTTTACAAACTTATTAGAGTTGATTTTACAATTCCATCTTTAACACAAACTTACATGCAGTCTTTTTACCAACCGGATTTTGCTAATGAACCTGGTAATTCATCAACTGCATTTCAA